TGTTAAAAAAAAAAAAATTGGCCGGACTTTCCCCCCCATTCGCATTTTGGCAGCTTCGCATCGCCATTTTGTAACCCCCCTCTGCCCAACCTCTGGATACGGCCCTGTTGGTGTGTGTTTGCTTTCAGCGATAGGTGTGATTTCTAAGAACAAATTGCTGTCATATACATAGTAAATTGCATCTACAAAGTTTCATAAAAAAAAATTGAGGGAGGGCCCATGCAACCTCCTGCGACAGGCCTAACAACCTCGTTGATCGCAGGGTGTCTCTCCTTCAAATCGTGGATTCGTCCCTGGTGCCCATGCACCCACTCTCCTCCAATTGGCATTTCCACGTTTCCATCTTTAGTTCGTAGTCAAGTTAGAAATAACTCTTTGAACTGGGCTTAGTTGTGGGCAATAAATGATGAAAAATGTATAGTTATAACCATGTATATATAATAATAATGAAGCCAATCCCTATATATAAGCGTGAGCTTATATTAGTGAGCGCGAGAGAATACGATATTTAGCGATGGAAGTTTCATACTTTACCCGATCGAGGGCAGTAAAAGAGCGCACACTCACAGATTAGTGACGTTGCAGTTTTCGCAAAGTTTATCGCAGCGTTGTAATATTTTCTGTGAGTGATAGGGCCTACATCGCAACAGCTGAACAGGTTTGTTTATAACAGTGAGAAAATTAATGCACATATGCTATATTAGGTTTGCAAGACCGTAAAACATATTTACGTTGAGGCAATACTTTTGTCATGCTAGTAGTACTAGTAGTACTAGTACTACTTCTAGTGACAGTGTACGTGAGCCATGGCCTGGGCGTTACGATGCTGGCAGCACACCGCTGCCGCTGGCCAACTGAAGGCTGAAGCCATATTTGTTAAAAAAGAAAAATCCGTTATCAATATCATCTAACAAAAAACGAACGGAGTCACACAAGTATTTATAATAGTGTTTATTCACTCGAACAGCCAAAACAAGCCACCATCGTTTAGTCCAGGATCACGGCTCGGCAGTTATAATATTAATAATAATATTAATAATAATTAATTATATGGCCCAAAACGATATGCTCACCGTGTGATGAGTGAAATGACATGACCTGCATTATATAATAATGCCGATTTGAGTGCCTGCTAACAGCATCTGTGTTTAACCGTTACATTCAGCCGTTTACATTTCGGCTGCAAAACGCCCACTGCTGTGTAATAATATATATGTATTGCTCATGCCCATAGTCATACATGGGCCTGTTGTCAGAAACAAAATTAGTCTTAACTATAGTCTTAACATTAACTTCCACTTGTTAACCGTTTACAGAAACATCGTAATGTTACGAGAACGAAAAATTCTCGCAAATATCCTCTTAACATTACGAGAGCCCAGACCCTCTCGTAACTTTAATATTAAGTTGAAAATGACACATTTACACTTCGAATTACAATTATAGTGATATTATATTTTATAATAATGAATAAAATGTGTGTTTTTCTTGAAAAACACGTCAAAATCATTAATTATCTACCGTTAATAAAACCAAACAATACATCTACAAATGGCGTATGGCATTTGTTCTCTTGTTTTAAATGTTTACCATGCTTGCCACAACTCTCGCGTCTCGCGTTACAGTGTGAGAATTTATCTTGTTGTGCAGAATAAATTCATGACCACTTCATTTTTCATCAAATATTATTTATATGTGGTTATCCATCATAATATGCATAAATTACTGTGATGTACAATAAATGTGTATGAATTTGAATTTTG